ATTGCTTCCAGAAGGAAGTGACACAGAATGGGAAGAGACAAGAGCTTGTCTCATCAGTCTCACATGTTTAGTCGGGGACTTAAAAGGAGAAATAGGTGCCTTGTAAGAACAGTTCAATATTCGTGGCAGTTTAGTATCAGTTTAAGCTTTTTCCATTCAGCTTTTGACAAAAATAGCTGTAAAGGAGCATGTGAACCTCAGAGCGTGCACTGTGCAGTCTATTTTTTGACACATCTTGGCTTATGTTTGTCAGCTTTAGATTCTCTAGTATGGCACATTTAGTCTGTGCAAGGTATGGAATACAAGAGATTGGTTTCTTGGGCCAAAATATCCTTTGACTTCATTCCTGAAAGATGATGATTTCTTCAGTGATATGATGCCACCTGCTCAAAGCAAGTGGTTTGAATCTATAGAGCTTCACTGCTGACTGTACTCTGTCTCACTATTAAGTTAATTCGCTCAGTTCTTCTGTTTGGGAGCTTGTGTTAAGATTTTGTGCATGCCCTGTGCTTTTGCTCTTCAATCACATGCACCTTACCTATTTGGCTCCAATACAGGGAAGATGAGTTTAGCTTGTTCAGATGGATCCAGCGAGCTTTTAAACATCCTGTGAGACTTCTGCCAAGCTTTTCTACAGAAACCACTAGCCTACTTTCAATGCACTGTCTTTGAATTGCCCCTGAAAACATTTTTTTTTCCACAACCTGCAGGCCGTGAATAATTCCCTGGTATGCAGATTATTGACCTTATTTGGCAACATCAAAGCGCTGCAGTTGGTGTGCTGATTCTGTGGCTTTCTATCCGGTACCTAGTATGTAAGGCTTCTTTCAGCAGCACATCAGGTGGTATCTGGGAATCTGATAAATGTAAAGTAGCATTTGAACTGATTCCAGTTGCTGTGCCTAGCAATAATTTGGTCTTTTGTCTATGCCACAGAAAGGCAAGGAGAATCTTGCTTTTCTCAACTGGGTATTCAGTATTCACACAGAGACATTGGGCTTCTATCCTGTGAGTGTGCTGCTGCTTTTCACTTAAAGTACCCTTGATGCATATGTTTGAATATTGCAATGAGGAAAAACCTGGATCCTCAGTGCTAGGGAGACAAAATGCCATTCTCAGTGCCATACTGTTGTTCCTGGCTAGGCACAGTGCTTCAGATGGACGCTTGTACAGTAGGTAAGTTCCAGTGACAGTGTAAGTATGGTTCTTCGTGCCTCATACGTGCTGTGGAAGTAGCATCTTGCAATGAAAAGACTGTGCTAGAAGAACTTTTGTGCCAATTATTCACTTTTTTTTTTTTTTTCATGTCTTCCTTAGGGCACCAACTTCAACAAACTGACTTCATGTCTTTTAAGTGGCTTCAGAGCCTCTGAAGTACAATTATCAAATTGTCATTTTAACTGAGCTATGATTTGAACCAACGACACAAAAGCAAAAAACCCTCACTGCAATAATCAGATAAGCTGTTCTGGTATTGTTACTCGGGGTCATTGTTGGTTACCTTTTTAGATATGATTCTTTGTGCTTCTTGCACATCTTAAAGCATGACTGAAAATGATATCTCTTCAGAGATGGACAACTGGTTTAGTTACATGTGGAAATTCACTATTTCCAGTTCTTTGGCTCCTAATTCTTGAATAGGATGTATGGATCCATGCAGAATCTTTGCTTATATTTGATACTTCTTTTTTTTTTTTTTTTTTTTTAATACATATGTTAATCCTCCAGCATACTCACCAGTTTATAAAACCACAGGTTAGTGGTTCTGAAGCCATTGAACATTCTTGAAGAACTTGCCCCAGGGAAATGGTGTGTTTGTAAATCTTGCTTTTATTATGGTTTCATAGACCAGCTGCTAACTGTATAGCTTTGTCTCATGGACTTAGAGTTTGGGAACCTCCTCCCTGAGGCACTATGTGTGAAATCTGGTTTCTGGGGAACCAGAAACCTCACTGGGGAAAAGAAAGGAAGAGGTTGTTCTGTTTGGTTCGCTGTGGTTAGGGTTTGCTAGCTTCTCAGGAACATACCAACCTCAGGGTTTTTTTCTCACCACTGAGCTGTTTGGTTTACAGTGGTTACTTTTACTCATTATCCTTTTTATGTTACTCTGTGTTAACATAGGGGATCAAAGACTGAAAGATAATATAGAAACATCCTTTCCAGAAAGTCCCTGTGACAACTAGAATTGGCACAGTATCTTTGACTTGTAGCTCCAGCTCTTTTTTTTTTTTTTTGTTTTCCTGAAAAAATTTTATTTTGGATTTTATAAAAACTCTTAAGAATCTGTGCTTGTTTAACTGGTACAGGATGAACTGCAGTGTATGCAAGGATGAGGTCTCACTGCCCTGCTTGCAGCGTGCTGTTCCTAGTTTGTGTTCTAGTTCATCAGTCACACACTGGTTTGGTAGTCTCTCAGCTGACTTCGGCGCTGTTGGTTTGTCACCTCCTGTAGCTTAGTCCTGCAGACTTGGATTGGAAGACAAAGCTCGATCAAACTGTTCCTCCTCACCCCCTCATCCAATTGGCATAGTGAAATCTAGTAAGAGGAGTACAGGCTTTTTCCCCTGGACTGCTGTGCTCTGGTGCTTGTGCTGAGCAGTAGGCTAAATCTTCAGTAAGATAAAGTAAAATATATTGCTTAAGGGGAAGTAAATCTTGTTTTATAATGTGGGGTTTCAAACCCGTCCTGCTTCCTCTGGCTCATGAGAGGCTGCTGTACCAAGAGAATCATTTCCCTTTGTCATGTGCTGACTCCTCTTGAACTCCTCTGTCGCTGTGGTTCTGCAGACTACTGCAGAATGACTCTTCTGGAATCATATTTGCATATCATTTCCTTTCATTACGGGCTGCTTATTGGAAGGTCAGCTCTCCTGTGTCTTGGTCATTTGCTTTTACCCTCCAAGACAGGTGGTTTAGATTTGTTCTGCTTCTGCTCTGACCTTATTGTGTTAATAGTTTTTGTACTGGGTCTGTACAACATCTCCCTCTTTCTGGCTGTGTCCCAAACTATGTTAATATTTACAGCAGTTATCTAGCATCTGGTGGCTTCTCCCTATTCCTTCCTGAGATCAGTATTAGCAGCTAGGTTTGTTACCTTATCTTTGGAAATTCCAGGCTCAAATTTTAATCTGAGGATGTTTACCCGAGTATAAACTTCACCTTGGAGAGATCACCAATCTGCTTTTCGCTTTATGATAGAGGAGGCAGTTTTGCCTACCTTTGACCTAAAAGAATTCAATAGAACAAACTTGGAATTCATCTGCTTTGACTCCTTTGTAACATATAACTTCTGTATTTTTTATTTAACATTAGGAAATAGATGTGCCTGTGTATATAGTTCTGTCTACTTGGAGAGGTGTCTCTGTCTATATTTGGTGGATGTGGTGCTGAGACTGGTAATATGGGAGGTATTGTTGGTTTGTTTAGAAGAGAAAGCTACTACTGTTTTGAGATGTCTGGCTGAGCTCTTATCACAGAACACTCATAACACTATAAAAGCACTTGATTTGCATATACTCATTCTGGTAATATAAATATCATAAAATCTTGCTATGAGTAATTTTATATGTATATAGCTCTTTATACTCAGCTTTTAAACACAGAGCTTCTTAAAAAAACAACCAACCGAACAAAACCCAACAACAACAACAAAAAGAACCCAAACCACAAATGAGCTATATGATCATCAGTACAATGTTCAAGTTCCTCTTAGAGTTTATAAAGCATGGTCCATGGATTAAATGACTCGCAGGAGGCATTTGTGCGTTATTTGGGACTCTCAAAATGCCCAGAAAATTCCCTGCCGTATTAGCCCAGCTCCAGATTCTCACCGTTTTACTAAGAGATCCTTACTCTTTCCTGTGAAACTGAGGAAAAATATCTTCTATCCCAGCCTTTTGGCAAAAATACCTTTTGAAGGGGTCCTTTTGTTCCTCTATATTCTTTAAGTCTGTTAAAATTGTAGGCAGGACAGCTTTAATCCAGAAGTAAACCGAGACCTGCTATGCTCCACTGTAGCTGAGGAAGAAAACAACTGTGGGAATGGGCTCAGCTGCTTTTCTTTTCCTCTTGTCAAGGTCCTGCAGCTCTATTTTACAAAATAGAATCGTGTTTGGGAGTTTTAGTGGAAGTTGTCTTGGTTTTGCTTTTATCTTTCCCTTCAGAGATTTCTTCCTGGTTCCTGTCTTACCTATCATTTTTGGTTTGTGTGTTCCATTAGCTAGAGTGCTCTGTTTGGAGGTGTAGCATACTGCCACCAAGGCAAGCACTGGTGGTGGTTCATATAGGAAATTGGGTCGTTCTTGCTAACACAACATACAGCAGATTTCAGATAAGGCTCAAGCTCTCATATGGATGTCAGAAACAAGGCTGTTTGTAGTAGGCAATTAAAAAAAAATCTTTCTGGTATTAGGGCACTTAACTGTTATGGGAACTGAGAGGGACTGGGGAGCAGAACCTTTCTCTGAGTATAGTGTTGTGTGAAGATCTTTGCCCTCCTAAGAACTCTAGTCCTGAGCGCCGGCTGAAGACAAGATACTAGAAGCGGTGTACTGTACTCAAAGACCTGACTCCTTCCAAAGCCTGTTTGATAAGTAGTATGTGTTAACTCTTCTCCAGTAAAATCAAAGTATGATGGATAGTATAGAGGCAGTTATCATTTTAAATCCATCAGTATCCATCATGTCTGCAATATTTCATAATATGAAGTATTTCCCAATATCTCTTGGGAGAAGTACTGCAGGAATCTGGGGAGAAGGGGGAAGGATCTGGGAGTTCTGTCATCCATTATTGGCATCTTTTGTTGTCTCATGGATTACTTCAGAGAGTAAGTTATTTTCCCAGTCTCTTCTATATAACATACTGCAGAAGGGCCCTTGTGATACCTTTTCTGAAGAGCTTTTTTTTTTGATGTTCATGTGAAAAAAATAGTGAAATGAAAAAAATAGCATGGTGTTTATCTTCAAGATTCGTCCTCATGTAAGATACTTTTTTTCACGTAGATAGAAGTGATACATCAGAGATCCTGCATGAGACTATTCCACTCATTAAAGGCAAAGTGATGGAGATGAACCACATCTTTGCAAAAGTTGATAAATTGGAGGTTTGTTCATTGCATCAGAAAATTTATATCCTTTTTATGTGTTTTATGGGTTAATTGTCCACTGGAGCACTCAGATGTTTACGACTCTCTATTGTCTTATGTTTGTTTTTAAATCAATATGAACCCTTGGTCCGGCACATATAAGTGTTTATTGTTTTGGAACATCACTGAGTACTTTATTGCTGTGGATTCTGTAATTCCTAATGGTAAATCAAAAGGATTAATTGTGGTTCTGATGTTAATAATAATGCTAATAATGTTAATTTATTTTGTGATTTGAAGGAGTATCTGTGAAACCATTTATGACTTCAAAAATTCAAGCCTTGCATCAAGTGCTGGACACTCCCATTTTAAATTGCTGATGATTGTCTTATGTAGTAGTGGAGAAATCACTGAGCTCCCATTTTCTGTTGTGTCTGGTTTGGTGTTTATTGTATCCTGAATAAGGGAAGCCAGCCTGACTCACTGAGATGATGACCTCACCATATTTAGTAAGCAGTATGTTAAAATTTGTGTCAACTGAGGGCAAGTTTGCCTCTGGGAGGAATGTGATGAAAACAGAATGACATAAGTTGTATAATGTTTAAAATCAGTTTTTAATTGACTCAAAGTGAAAGAAACCAAGTGTTTGTGGCATTAAATCCAGATAGGCAGTGCTTAAGCTTCAGGCTCTACCCCTGTACGAAGTAATAGCCTCTGGTAAGATTTATTGTGCTGGGAAGGACAGGGCAATTGACTTAGCTTTCAGCAAATTTTCTTCAAATGCCATTAATTTTCTGTACTTTGCATTTTTACACTTATGTTCGATAACACACTTATCAAACCACTTCCCATTTTATTAACTTAGCACCAGGAGAAAGCTTCAGACAGGAAATTGAGGCAAGCATTTTAGAGCAAAAGTGGGAGTCAACTGTTAACCTGTTTAGAAACCTGTCTAGTTTTCAGAACTGAGCACTCCAGTCCAAGACACAACTGGCAGGTTCTTGGTGTACTTGACAATTTGGCCATGCTTGAGTGTACACTTAAGCTTGGACTCTGAAAAATGGCTGAATCAGGTTCCAAATTGACCATTTCTGGAAATGTCTCACCCATTTAGGTATTTTTGCAAATTCCATTATTATAGGTGATTGGATTTTTAGGGGAGTCTGCCAGGATGTTTTTGCCTTTGAACAGGAAACTAACATTAAAACTTACTTGTGCCAAAAGCATGGTAAGCAATAAGGCTCCTTGTTGCTTTTTTTCCCCCTCTAGTACAGGGAAGGGAAAAATAAAACCCTTCCTGACTCCATTCCCTTAGTACAGCTGTAGGGACATAGTAGTTTGGAATACAAAGGAAATACCAGGCTTTGCTAGGCTATGGGCTGCCCTGGAAAAATGCACCAGAATTTTTTTGAGAGGCTTTTTTTGGTTATCAAGGGAGGATAATACCTTGATTGGCTAGGAATCAGTTTTTCTCCCTAACATTGCTAAGTGTAATGGCACTAACCTGAGAGCATAAGATTAAATTGGCAATTTGAGCAGTATTTAATGTTTTAATTAGAACTTTTAAATTTAAAGCTTAGCATCCATGGGGATTTTCAAGGGAGAAATTAACCTGTACTTCCCAGGGTAGAAAAGGAAAGGACTATTGTGTAATGGTTATATAGGAGGAGAATCTGCTGGGGTTCAATTTTGATGTTGCCACTGGTATGTTCTGGGCAATTAATTTACCTGTTCAGCCTCCCTTTCTCCATCCCTAAAATGGGCAGTGCTCAGCTTCTCAAAAAAAACCAACCAAACAAAAAAAAACCCCAAAAACAAAAAGTGAAGCTTTATCACTGAGAGTATCAAAACTTTTCAAACTGTTCTGTATTTTCACAAATAAATACTGTGTTCTTTCTAGTTGGCTTTCCCTTACGGCTCAGATTTCAGCAGACACTTGAGCACATGTAAGTTTTAGGTTGATAATTCTCTCACCTTTTTTAGTTGAAATTACCTGCCATTATCTTTTCCTCTGCTGTCTGCTCCCTCCTACCACTTTGGCCACTTTCTCACTCCCACCAGTAGTAGCAGTCTCTTTGTGGGTTCTGAAGAGCTTTTCGCCTTGCTGCCGAAATGGTGCCAGACTTTTAGACACTATGCAAGTGCTTACCTGCTCTGTATGCTGAAAAGGGAGCAAAAGTCTGCCCTTGGTAAGGGCAAAAATTAGCCTTAGGTCATGAACACAGATTCTCACAGCTGTAACACAGATGTAAACATCTGTAGTCTACTTCTGAATGTGTGACCCTTGAATATTTATATTAGAAATTGTCTACTCTGAAATCCTCTTAAAGCTTTTTCTTTGACTTCTGATCTCTAGCTAGGACAATGTTGAAACCCAGCCATGTGCTTTTAATTTTAGGTGTTTTTCCTCTCTCCATAGGCATTTGTTAAAATGGTTGCACACCATGTTTTCTTCTTAGAAGAGCAAGTGCATGAAGCAGAGAAGAGCCATGGCCCCTTTCTTGATACTGTTTGCAAATTATTTCAGAGTGCAACTATCTCATAATTTCAAAACGTGAGTATTTTAAAATTTGATTCCAGCAGATGGGAAAGTGATGTTAAATACCCTTTCTAAATCAAATGTACAGCAATAGATTTAAACATATATTAAAAAAATGTATTAAGCATGTCTTAAAAATACATGTCAATACAGCAGATTTAATGATAAAATTTGAGTGATGTAAAAGAGCTATCTACTGTTGGATTCTATAAAGGGAATTTGATATTTATTTTTAAAGTTTTAAATAATTTCCTTTTTTTTTTTTTTTTTAATAAGAGAATGCTTGGGCATTGAATAGTTCCAGCAGTAATTTTTGGAGATGTCTGTTTTGCTCCTGAATGAAAGGATTTTCTCTAAATATGTATATGCAAATAGGTAGCTTGTTATACATCAACTTGTAGTGGGAGACATAAGCATAGATTGTATTTCTGTTTAGTCTGATTTTATGTTAATTATGTAAAAATTACTTTACAGAGCCATCTATGGGTTAGCACTAGAGGGGAGCAAGAACTCTTAAGTCAGTTTTAGTGATATTTGCTGATGGAAGAAGAATGTTCAGAGTCAGGGATAATGAGATCGGAGGTGGACTTCAGGAAGTTTTACATACTCTTCATCCTTTCTGTCCTTATTCTTCTCCAAGAATGTCTTCACCTACCTTTATACTCTTGTTTGTCTTCTCTAAGCTCCCAGGTAATTTGCTAACTCTGTTTCCCCATCAATTCGTCACAGTCTCCAGTTAGCCTTTTCCGAGCTCATCCCTTCCATTCCTCCATCTCCACCTTGCAGTAGATACCACATCATTTTCAGTCTTAGCATATCTCTATCACAACTCTAATTCTAGTCTCAGTTACTTCTCTGTTTTCTTTGGTCACTTCTGTATTTCTGCAGATTCTTTCCAAGAGCTTCCATAGTGGTGTGCGTAGTACTGGGTAGGCAAGAATACACAGGTATTGATGATCAGGTAGATATAGCTGAAACACCCCAAAATTTTGTCTGGTGTCATAGCAGCTCTTGAAGCTTCAGTTGCAGGAAAAATCCAGTTCAGTTTCTGCAAATCCAGGACAAAACTTTACTGCTTCACAAGAATAATGAATATTCAGTCTGGTTAACAGAGGCATGGACAGGGGATGGTGCATACTGATTTCATCCTGTCAAACTCTAGTGAACCTTTAGAAACCCACAGTTGATACAGACTCAGTAAAGAGCTGTAACTTGGCCAAATTTGATAATATTTTCATAAGAATGGGAAAATATGTCCCTGATATGAAGGTAGTTTACTGCCAGTTTAATACCTCTGGTGTAGCTTATTGGAACTTTTTAAAAGAGTTGAATAACACATACTTTTCTTTAATTTCATTATCTGAATTTGCTTGGTTTTGTTCCTTAAAACTTTCCAAACATGTTAAACCTGCAGCAGATACCCAGTCTGGAAAATGTATCAAAGCTGGAAGTTCTGCAAAGTTACCTGCCTGTACAAATAATGTTGTAAAATAGGGATGCCAACAAGAATGTGGAGAAGACTGAACTGTTTACTCAGAAGCTGGCTTGAGTTGGGCTCAAAGACACTAGAATCTTATCCCTGCCACCATTTCCCCCGAAAACAGTACAGCTAGAAAGCATGGTGAGAGAGGTAACAAGGATGAGTACAGATAAGGAAAAGTTATCTCACAGAAATTTCTGAAGACTCAGCCTGAAGGAGGACAGGATAGAAATTTGTGAAGTCCTTCTGTATGTGGAGCAGGTGACTAGGTAGTGATTATTCACTCCCTCCCATAATTCAAGAACTAGGGTCATCCAATGAAAATATCAGCAGGCAGGTTCACAACACAAAAAGGGAGGCACTTACTTTACAGGATGTATTAATATGCCATAGAACTTATGTCCACAGGGTGTTATATATTCCCAAAGCAATTAGATAAATTAATGGGAAAAAAATCCAACACAGATATTAAACAAACTATCGTGAAGACTGGGAACTAAGTTTGTATATTTACTCCGTAAACCTTGCCCTAGGCAATGTCTTCATGCAGTCAGCACTTAAGAGGGATTATTTGGCTTCATGGACCTTTGAATGATGTAGTACAGCTGCTTGGTGATAATTTTTACATTGTGGTTCTCATTGTAAATTCTGTCTCTGAATGACAATGCTTTGTGCTGGTAAGGAGTTACTTCTAGTAGAAGTGTGCAGGAAAGGACTGAACCAATCAAGGACATGGATGCAGTTTGAGTGTCTGCAGGAACTTTCCTTTTGGTATGGCTATTGCCTGAGACCTAAGAAGATTCCTGCCGACTCTCCGAGTTTCTTTACTCTCTCCCAATCTGTTTCCTTCTAGTTGTCTGTCCTTTTTCCCCTGTTATGTAGGATAGCACTGCAGAGATGCCCCTTTGACATCTTTTGCCACTTGAAAATTAGGACTGTCCTGACCATTTCTGTAGATGAGTTTTACTTGTTCTGAAATGGTAGTATCCAATTTGTGTACCTTTTTTCCACATAACCTTCATCAGACTGGGTAAAAAAAGTTTGTGAGTGCCCCAGTCTCTGAAGGGAGTGTGTGCATGCATATGTGTTTCAGCTAGGGAAAACTCATTCTCAGTGGTTTACTATTAATATTTCAAGGTGCAGCAAAATCCTGTAATGTTAGTATTTTTTATTTTTTGCTGTGTTTTTTGAGTATTCAGAAAGTTGTTTCATACAGACTTCCATTGCACAGTAACCCTGGGAAAGGTGTCCAGTCTGTGGGAGAAACGTGAGAAATCAGAATTCACTCTGTTAGGAATATCCAGAGGTGGCCTGAAAAGAAGTGATATTATACTAAATATAAATTACAGATATGACTGGGTAACTCTGACAGGTTCTAAGAATGTAACACCTCCTGAGGGAACAGAACAGAGGAAGTAACTGTCTCTTCTGAAGTTTGCAGCTCTGTGGAAGAAAAGCTTTTCTTCTGTAAAGCTTGACCTTTGTATGGGAGAAACCGTGATTTCAAATCTTTTATCCAAAGATGTTACCTGTGCCCTGGCT